ATACAGGGCTTTAGAATATCGATACAGTATCGTGAAATGAAATATCGCGATATTTCAGTGTATCGATATTTTCTTACACCCCTAGCTACCACTAATATTGTTTAGCATTAGCTTCCACTAATTGCCACTTGTTTAGTAAACTAATTATTACTTTTAATGAGCTCTTACTTGTTTTTACATGTTTAGTGTAAGCTTCCACCAATTTGTAATTTTTTCACTTTAGCTTCAACTAATTTTTACTTTTTTGTTAGCTTTCACAAATTTGTACGTTTTTAGCATTAGCTTCCACCAATTTGTAATTTTTGTCACTTTAGCTTCAACTAATTTATACTTTTTTAGCAAAAGCTTTCATTACTTTTATATATTTAGCATTAGCGTCTGCTAAAGTTCTTACATATTTAGTGGTTTAGCGTTAGCAAAACTGCATTTTTACATAGTGGCTCATGAGTTAGCGATGTTAACTTTTTGGTTAGCTGTGCCCAGCATTAGTTGTCAGCTGTTGATTCATACTGTACACTGGAGAAATAATGTTTTTGCCTGCGTGTATGTGTGTGCCCATCTGTTAGCAAAATATCTCATATACAACTAGACAGATTTTAATAAATAAAAGGAATTAATTGGAAATTAATCAAGAACTGATTGAGATTTAGTGTCAGTCCACCTCAAGATGGCTGCCACTGCTAGAAAATACAAAATATTGGTTATAACTTGGCTAACTGTACTGAGCTAAAACTTGGTGTGGTAGTAACTGAGAGTCACCTCAACACATACTTACATACATTGTATACATTACATACTTATTACATTTGATTTAAAATCAAAGAACTAGCTTCACTGGGTCAGTGCAAACTTTAAAAACTTACAATAAGTAGTATTTCTAATAATGTGGAAAATGATCTGGAATAGATAAACAGAGAAAACCAGATAAACCRTTCTTGTGTTTTTAAAGTAATCATCTTGTTACAATCCAGACATGAAGACAAAAGATTTAGGATCTTTGATAAAATGATTGTGAGGATGTTAGCGTTGTTCACTTTGAACTAATGTCAGCATCAAACAGCATCGCTAATGTGGCTAATTAGCAACGGTTTTAAACGGCTCTGACAACATCTCACTTCAGCTTCAACAGGCAGAAATATGAGAGCAACGTTTAAAGGATCTTTGTTATTGAGAAGCTGGGGTTTCAGGTTTATGATAGGAAATGACGAAATATTGAATTTTTGCTTTTAAAATGTATTTTGACCCAAACCTCTGTATATTTCAGTGTCAGTTGTTCAAAATTTGTGTGGTTTTGTTCGATTTGTTTTTACTTATACAAAACAAATAGCGTACTGAAGCGAGAACAAAAGCAGTTTATTACATTATCTGATATTAAGAAGCACTTAAATAAATACAAATTTAAAGTTCTCATGTTTATAATTTTTTTTCAGGTATGTGAAGTTGTAAAGTAATAATTTATTATTTTATCCAGCTGTGATGCTGAGAAGTATACAGATGTTTACTTACTGGCCTTTRTGTCGAGTGGTAAATTATTCTAAAGCTAATCAGGTCAATATTGGGTTTTAATTASGAGCAAATTCATATTTATGACGGCAATCATCATCTCAGCTGACAGAGTTAAAGCAAAAATAATTAAGAAGCTGACRTTTTGTGGTCGGTTTAAGCGAAGTGAGACAGTTTGTAGCCTTAAGGATAAACCTRCAGTTTCTTTCACTGATCAGATTTTATTCTCAGACGCCAATTCAAATTTGATCATCAAAGATCTTTAATAAATAAGCTAAAATTTGCTTTTGGAGATCAAAACCAAAACAGACAGAAAGTCRAGATGGATTAGAGAGAATTACCAGCAGTGAAAGTGTTTGAGACTGCAGCTGTTTTTAACGAACACCTTTACCTTCACCATCATGTTTCTTCCTACTTATTTAATCAGGCCTCTATTTAGTTTGTCAATTTTAAGGTTTTGTTGTCRGTCGTGAYAAAAACATGGGCATGGTTYTAATCAGCTAACAGCTAWTAGTGGAGCAGATTTTTCATTTAGCTGATTAGCTTTTTCACTAACTTAGAAACTGTTAGCAGACCAATTAGCTTCCGCTAAGTTAGGTTTTTCTACTTTAGGTCCGCTAACAGCTAACTAACAAGCTAACATTGACAGGTTTGTGTCAGTCCCACYAGTCTACAGCTGRAAAGAGATGAAGACGTGACGCAGACTGAGTGACAGTTTAGCTGTTTAGCATTGGTGAAGCWATATTTTAGCTGTTTATGAGTTAGAGACGCTAACGTTTTGGTTAGCGTTGCCCACCACTGCAGCTAGGTAGTAAAACAGGGGTATTTGTTGGCACATTTCACTGTAAATCTGTAAAAGTATAATGCTAATTACAAACCCCAAAACYAGAAAAGTTGGCACGTTGTGTAAATCGTAAATAAAAACAGAATACAATGACTTGCAAATCATTTTCAACCTATATTCAATTGAACACACTGCAAAGACCACATACCTAACGTTTGAACTGGTAAACTTTGTTATTTTTTGCAAATATTAGCTCATTTGGAATTTGATGCCTGCAACATGTTTCAAAAAAGCTGGCACAAGTGACAAAGAAGACAGAGAAATTTGAGGAATGGGGCGAGGGTCACCACTTTGTGAACAAATGCGTGGGCAAATTGTCGAACAGTTCAAGAACAACT